ATTTACGGATTCTATTATTTAATTTATTAGAATATTAATTCAATTAAATAATAGATATTGTCATACATGCATCAATTATATATATTTAAAGTGTCTATGTCTAAAGTTGATTGGATTTAGGGCATAACACTTACAATATGGACGAAAGAAATATGGAGTTCTATTCTTTTTAATTATGGAAGCTCGCGAAGTTTTACTGAAATTTTTATTTTGATGTATTGTGATTTAATAAAAATAATAATAATTTTAACTTTTTAGCAAAATTATTACTTCAAGAACAAACTTATATATAAAAGTCTTCTGTTTGAGAATAACTTATAAATAAATCAAAATGAGTGATAAATAAATTTCATACATGCATCAATTATATATAGTCTAAAGTTGATTGGATTTAGGGCATAACACTTACAATATGGACGAAAGAAATATGGAGTTCTATTCTTTTTAATTATGGAAGCTCGCGAGGTTTTACTGAAATTTTTATTTTGATGTATTGTGATTTAATAAAAATAATAATAATTTTCACTTTTTAGCAAAATTATTACTTCAAGAACAAACTTATATATAAAAGTCTTCTGTTTGAGAATAACTTATAAATCAATCAAAATGAGTGATAAATAAATTGACAGTACTTATAATTCCATTGAACTTTGTAATTAATTGAAAATAAAATTTTACCATTTATAAATTAGCTAAACAGAGGCTTAAGAACAAAGATATGCACTTATTCGGAAGCAAAGGGAGTGTTATTGGGAAGATGGAGGAGGTATAGAATAAAAATAGAAGAGGTTTTGAGGGAGAAATATATGTAGATTGGCCATGCAGGTCTCGAACCTGCGATCTTCGCGTTATTAGCACGACCCTCTAACCAACTGAGCTAATAGGCCCCCATTAAAGTAGTACGTGAGGTGAGTTCAGAACGTTGTGAGACAATTCGATCTATATTCGATGTGGACGTTAGAGCATTGAGAGGATATTTCCCTAGTACGAGAGAACCGGTGTATATTTTAAAATTTTGACCATACTGAAAAAGTTGTGGGACCTGTAAAATATGTAATTAAGAGATTAATTGTTGATTTTGACTTTTATTTCTACCAATACATGTAAAAAATAATATTACACGTAAATCGAATAAATTTGGTCATTATTCAAATTTATTTATTACCCTTTTTTGATTTTCATTTTTTTTTTCAAAATATATTTCTCTCTCTTTTTCTCAACCACATATTTTTCAATAAAATAATATTACACGTAAATCGAAATTTTTTTCTTATTTTTTACTCGTATTCTCCAAAAAATCACTATTCTAAAACTCATTTCATCCCAAATTTCCACTAAAATGAAGCCCAAACAAGGGCTAATTGTTGAGAAACAAAAAATAAAAAATAAAAAATTATTCATTTAATGTAACATTTGGTGTAACCATCGGAGATGACTTTGTACAATGATGTGAAAATTATACCAATTTGATACAAACCATTGGAGATGCTCTAAATTTTTTGGTGCGACTTTCTCAACGAGATTTGTGGTGACACCTCGTATTGGAGATTTTCTCCAGAGTGCATGGCACGTGCCAAATTCAGAATGTGAAAGAAATCAATCAATATCATGAAAGGTTGTTTAGTTCACATTATTGAGAATTCAAATTTCAAACACCTCTGTATTCAGTCTTCACCGTAAATTTAGCTTTTTTTCCACACGTTTTCTCAATTGTTATCATAAATTAATTATTTAAGAATAATTACTTATAATTGAAACTACCAAAGATGCATAAATCACAACAACCAAACTCTAATTTCTTATCATTTTAAACAAATATATAAAAATGAATAATCCCACTTGAAGTCCTCGCCATAAATTGTTTTGTGTAGTGACTATTAATTTCGAAGCAAGTGGTGGAAAACGAAGTGTGAATGCGTTTAATGAATAGTAGTAGCCAGTGGGGTAGTGTTGGTGTGAACATAAATTTTGTCCATCCACGAGCATCTCAATTAATTTGACTGTCAAATCTATGTTTAGAATATAGCATCGTTTGATTCATATTCTTTCAAAATTCATTTTCAACCATACATTTTTCGATAAAATAATATTTTTCATTACATTCAAAACTTTTCCTTATTTTTTAACAACACATTTTCCATCACATCACTATTTAAAATACAATTTTTCCTCAATAATATGCATCAAACACCCACATAGTATTAAATTAGGCTAATTAGTAATTTATTATCGAATTTTGCTACGTGTACATAAAAAAAATGTATATAATAGATAAATGTTTGATTTCTAGTAAATTTGGTAAGAATTGATCAAATGCATAGTTAAAAAATTGTCCTATAAAATATGTGATTAAAATTAATTATTGACTTTGACTCAAATTTTTAATATACACCGAATATGTAGAGTAGAGTGACACTAAAAGCAGGTCAAACAATTTCAGATGCCCGGGAAAAAAATTAGGAATCTTTTAAACAATAATAATAAAAATAAATAAATGATCATCAACAAAAATTCATCGTATTTCGACATTAAGCAATATTTATTTGTGATTTTAAGCAAAATTATCCATAAAGATATCGTCGAATTGTTGACCGAGTAGTTACGGTAGCATATAATATAACAAAATTGATCGACAAACAATAAATGAGTAGATATCTGTCTTATCTACAAGTATAAACTCTTCACTGTAGATGTACCTTAAAAGAACCATAATTAAAACACATCTATTCAATCAACAAGGATTTCATAGCAAGAAAAATCAAATACTAGCTAACATTACCTAATTGTTCATAATTCAAAAGTTAAGGACTTTTATGGCAATGTTTTTATCTCGAACAAGCCTCTTTCATGAATAAATTGAACAATAGTTCGACTCTAAATTTGAGAAAAGAAACTTTTTAAGATAAATTTCTTAAGATCATCCAAAATCGATCTTGAAGATTGGTGAAATACCAAATATGTAGTAGTTACATATAAACACATACAAAGTGAGCATAATAGACAAAAGTTGTAGAGTTAATCTCCACCACAAAAATAAAACATTGTGATAGATACAATTTCACTTAACGTTATTTTTGAATGGTGCTGTTGGATCATTACTGTTGTTGATGCTTAAGCCCCTGTTTGTTTCCTATTATAATGCCAATTTTTACCGTTGCAACAGGGATCAACGGTCTTTTTTGACAATTTTGTCTCACGGTAGGATCCATTTCTTTGAAAAAAAAGGTCAAAAAATGTATTTTCCATCTTAAATAATGGGAAACAAACAGGGGGTTAAAAATGATATTACCAAATTATCTATGTTATAACTTATAAGAGTGCTTTCAAAGATGGTTATAAATTAGTATCTTCAAAATCAATTTTACTCTTTATTTACATTCCAGTGGATCTAAATTCAAATTCTGCTCAAATGAAAAGATCTAAATTCACTTTTTACCTTGTGGATGTAAAGAAAAAAAGGTGTAAATTTGTATTTTTTTACATCTTCTGTCAAAAAATGCAATTTTCATATATCTTCATTTGAGGGATTTTCGATCATTTTGAAAATCTAAATCTCTATTTCATACCGCCATTGAAGATATTTTTATGTTGTAACTACTCATCTTTATGATTTTACGAGTACATGTAGGACGAGTCGAGCTTTGGAACTTTTAAAAAAAAAAAAAAAAAATTGGTGCAATTATGTAGGAGCAAGAAAAAGAACAAACAAACATAAAGACAATGAGCACATAAAGTGACACAGAATGTATCAACGAACTCTCCTAGCAAGATTCTCTAATCCTAGTTAAGGTCAAAACTGTCATTACAACTGCAAGTTTAGGTTAAGCATTGTAAGTTCATAGCCGCCAGTAAGTTGTATTTTTCTGATATTTTAACCTGTTCATAAAATAATAGTAATTTCGATAAAATATAAATTTTGGAAATTTTATATAAGGTGACAGTTGGCATATGGCTTACGTTATTCCTATGACGAAGAAGCAATACGTAACCATGAATGTGCATAAAAGTTTATCCACGCGCTAGTAATTCGTGCTTTTTCGTACTATGCACAACACAACTTTTAGGTAAATTACACTTCCGGTCATCCAACTTCTACTAAATTTCAATTGAGTCATGTAACTTTAGTATGTTATAATCAGACCCCTTAACTACAAATTTAGTGCAAACTCCCCACTCTAGATATCTAGCCTTGCCAGTAAAATTCTCCTACAAGATGTTAACATTAAATATGCGGTTTATGTGTAATAAATTACTATTATGTCGTATAAACAATTTGTTAAATATTAATAAATAACCCTTGTTTGATGGCCATTTTTCGGAAAAATATTATTTTATATAATGAATTTTTGGAGAATGTGGATTTAAAAGTAGCAACAAATTTTGGGTTTACTGTAGAATATTTTATTGTTTGAATGTATGATTAAAAATTAGTAAGTAAAAAAAAAAGAATTTTAAAAGAATGACAGACAAATAGAGGCATAGAAGTTTATGGTTAGTTTTTTCTATCGTATCGATGGAAGATAATTATCAAAATTAAAGTTGAATGGCACGATTGCAAGAAATTAAAAGTTAAGTAATCAAATCGAGATTTGGTAAAAGTTGAGATCTGCTGCTCAAAATTAGTTGTCTAATTTGTCGTCCACTCAATAATTTATTGACACATCACTTAAAATTAACATGTCTAACTTTTTTTCCACTATCGTTTGTACTTAAAAATAGGTATAAAATGATATTTCAATGAATTATTGGTGAATAGCAAGTTGAACAGTTAGTTTTGAACAACAAATCTTGAGTAAAAGTAACCCAATTTTTTTTGAATAGATGTCAAATGCGCGTGGGATTGCGAATTCCAATCTTGGGTGAGCTTTCGTGGAAATTTCTTTATTTTTTAACATTAATTTTATTATTTCTTGCAGATTAAGGGTGGCCTTTGACTTATCGATATAAATAGGAGCCCAGTATGCTTGGGCTGGAAATGATACACACAGTATACTGTAAACATGGAGTCATCTTTAGTTGCAAGCACAGTACCTGGCCGGAAAAGGATGATCGGAGAGTTGATTCGTGGCCGGAAATTTGCGCAGCAGCTTCAACTTTTGTTGCGTAAATCCCCTGAAGCTGAGGTTATTGAGGACAGTGAAATGACGTCTGCTCAGATTCTGGTGAACAAAATCTTGGATTCGTATAATCAAAGTCTTTCAAACATCAGCTCCGGGGGGTCTGATGAGGTTTCTGAAATTCAGGCAGTGGATTCTCTGTGTTCGGATGGCCACCGGAAGTCTGAAGACTCCGACGAGAGTTTCAAGACTTCTGTACGGAAGGATCGGAGAGGATGCTACAAAAGAAGGTAATTAATATATTCTTGTAATTGTATTCAATGAAGCACTATTTATGTGACTTATGTCTATTTATTTGCTTTATAATTAATTAATTTTGGATTCATTGTAGGAGAACTTCTGAGACATGCATTAGAGAGACCTCTACTTGGATTGATGATGGCCATGCATGGAGGAAGTATGGACAAAAACCCATACTCAATTCCCCACATCCAAGGTATTCTTTCAAGAATTGTAGTTTCTTAATTTTTTTGATTTTTTTTTTAAATAATTTGATTTCGTTATGTTTTTCGAGATGTTAGATAGCAATTTATACAGTATTAAGTTTCAAAATCCTAGGCCGTTCTCATCGGTCGGCGACCTTGCCCTTTTCTTAGATCCAAGCCGGACTTCTGACTTGTTGTGTCGATCCGTTGTTCAAGATCTTTGGTCTAGTCTATGAACTTGTCGAAAGTGATACAGATCTAGACTATGGTCCGTTAAAAAATTTATTTTAAATTTCTTTTTCTTTTTTAATACCGATGATACCGTCCAATTCACATCGAATATATACATGTCAATAATTCTATAATGCTGAGCTTATGAAGAAAAGCCAACTTAGCCCCTGTTTGGCTCCATTAAAAATAAATTATGAAAAAAAATGTATAATGTGTACTTGTAGATAAGAAAGTTTTTTTTTTTTTCCCTCTAAAGTGGAGTCCAAACAGGGTCTAATTATTGTTCTTTTTCTTGTCTTGAAGCGTGCTAATTGATTTTACTCTGGATATATTGAAATGCAGAAACTACTTCAGGTGCACGCACAAGTTTGAACAGGGATGCCTAGCAACCAAACATGTCCAAAAGATTCAAGAAGATCCGCCAAAATTTAGGACAACATACTATGATAATCACACTTGCAGAAATTTATACAAATCATCTCATGTTGTTATCGTGGATCACACAGCAGGGGATAATTCTTCCAATATCATCTGGAATTTCGGGTCTCAGATTGAACCAGTTTGTGAGCCTAATGACCCAGTGAAGCAGGAGAACAAGGAACAAGTTCGAAATTTGCCCGACAACAAATCTGGATTGTCTGATTACTTCATCCCACCTGATGATCATCTCACTACATTTTGTCAAACCTCTGGGCCCTTGACTGCATTCTCATCAGGATCTGATCATGGGGATGTGATTTCTTCTGATGTGTATTCCTGTACGGCTAGCACTCACAGTATGGATATGGATCATATGATTGCAGGACCTGTTTTTGATGATGTTTTTCTTAAATATTAATGGACGGTATAGTTTGAATCATTATCTCACTTTATGTAAAGTTTAGATGCTTTGTAAAGCAGTAGCATGTACCTTATTATGTTATAGCGTGGAAATTAATGTATTAGATAATGATAAGGTTTCTTGGATCAAATCATGTTTGGTGTACATCATCCCTTACACTTTACCACATATCATCATTTAATTGGACAATTTAAAAAAAAAAAACAGTTTTTTCAACCAATTTTTTCTGACAACGCATCAAATGTCATCCATAGTACAAGGAGGGAGTCTACAAACATCATAATCCTCTTTCGATAAGATCGCGCTCTAGATTCCTTGTATATATATATCCCTTTCACAAGATATTTCAAATTTGGTTTAGCTCAACATGATGTTATCATTTATGTTATACTAAGAGCATGTTTGCCTAAGTTTAAAATCCAATTAAAATTGAAAATATAGTCGTTATTAGGTCTCACTCGTGTAATAAAAGTCAACAATAACGGCTAATTTTTCAATTTTAATCCTATTTTAATCTCTACCGAACACGCCATAAGAAACTACAAATTATTTTTGGATCCTATCCAAGTGGCGTAGCATAACAGAGTTTGAAAATCGACTAATCAAAAGGAGAGGAAAAGAATCTCACATTAGCTCGTATGCTGGTATAAAGCCTCTAAGGTCACTAACCAAGTTTGATCAGACAAGTAGCCTAAGCGTGAGATTGTCCCAAAACATGCTTAGTCAACAACTCATATGTGTGTGTTTGATGAATATTATTAAGAAAAGAATGTATTTTAAATAGTGATACGATGAGAAATATGTGGTTAAAAAGTAAGGGAAATTTATTGATGTGATGAAAAATATTATTTTATTGAAAAACTTTCTTCGAGATTTATGACAACTACAAGACATTCTCTCTATTTTCAAAAAAAATATAATCATATATATAACGTATAGAGGGGATGGCAAAATGAAAAATTTATGCTAATAGGAGAGGTTTTTGAAAGGACAATTATATTCAAATTATGATCCGTTTGATTGGTTAAAATTCCATGGAAAATGTCAATTATATATTCAATTTCTATTTTGACGGTTTGATACGTAAGTGAAAATGGAGTTCGAATTCCAATGTACAACCACTTTAAATTTGTTTTTTTGTCAATTTCATGGAAAATGAATTTCTATGAGGTATTTGGATTTTTATTTTCCAACTTACAGGGAATTGAAAAATCTTTACACATTTGCCAACCAAACCGATCCTTAAAAGAGTTTTTGTTCAGTCCACCACATTGTATTTGCAATATAGGTCTCTAATATTTGATCCATAATGCATTTATGTTACCAACCTGCACTTTTATACTTGACCTTTAATTAATTAGTACATCTTATTCTCGATGACAATTTTTATCTAGATATTGTGTTAGTTTGCTTTGAAACGAGAAACAAATAATGTAGAACTTTGGTATTAGATTTTTTATTTGCTTATTTAAAAATATAAGAGGCAAATAAGTGATTGTATTCTCTACAGCTCGGCCCAAACCCTCCTACGTCCGTCATTGGGAAGGATATTGGGGCGAGGAGGGGCGATCTAGCTCTCTAGAAACTTTTTGTAGTTACCTAAAAAATTTAGTATATGAAACGAGAGTTGAGATCTGTTGTCCATTCAATTGATTATTAACACGTCATTTTAAATTACCATGTCATCAATTTGATGGGTTAGTGATGCAATTAATAAAGATAAATTTGAGATGACGTGTTAATTTAAAAATGATGTGTCGATAATTAATTAGATGAACAACAAATTAGATAGTATAATAACATATCTCAATTCATGAAAGGGATATATACTTTAAGTGGTAAAAGAATTAGCCCTTATTTAATTATTCCTTATCCTTTAGCACCTATAACCAATCCATTTTCAACCTTTAAAATTGAATCATTGTGTTTTGTCCTTTTTTACATAATTTCATTAACTTCTTTTTTTACCTTTTTCTTCTCTCTTTTATGTTTTGATTGATGCATTGAATGCTTTTATCATCACATATATATTCAATTTGTGGTGCATCAAATTACTGGTCTTATTGCGTGAGAATCTATCTTTCCATTAATTTAAGCTAAACCACAATTTCTACCACTAAAATGACTTTATTCGATAGAGATCAAAATCGAATTAAAATTGAAAAATTAACCGTTATTGTTGACCTTTATTAGACGAGTGGAACCCAATAACGATTATATTTTCAATTTTAATTGGATTTTAATATTTACCAAACAAGCACGTCAACCATTAAGGTTGTTCTCGATAAAAAGAAAATGGCAAAATTGCACTACAAAACCAAGTAAAACATATTCCAATCTTCCATTTTTTTTCGATTTTCCGTGTGTTACGTAATCAAACCTTATTTTTTAGAATAAAATTTGATTAATTTCTTCTATTTTCATAATTATTTTATTTATATTTTAGTGTAAAGTTAATTTTAGTCGAATACTTTTATGTCTTCCTAACATAGTTTTTGAATAAAAACAAATAGCTTTATTATTTTCTTCAAATGTCACTATATGTTAACTATTGTTGCCCCGTTAACGCTACTCTCGATTGCCCCTTCAAACTAGAAATTCTGGCTCCCTCATTGTTTTAATTGTCTTATTTTGATGGAGATTAAAATCAGATTTTTAGTAAATTTTGATAAAAATTGATGAAACGTGTGGTTGAAAAGTTGTGTGTCTTATAAAATATGTTGTTAAATTTAATTGTTAACTTTGATTTAGATTAAAATCTTAATTTTAATTTCTACGAGACATGAGTACAATTGTTAACAAGAATAGTCTTAGAAAAGGCCAAAACAAAAGTTGGTGGAAATTTTGTCAATGTGAAAAGGAGAAATGGCTTAATATCAATGGCGTGGATAAAGGGGTAATTAATGGGGGAATCGGGTGGTTCAAATCTTCACTGATAGTTAGTGAAAATGAAATCTTTGGTCACTTCTTTCTTTTTTAACAACCAAATCTCATGTCATCGTGTGATTGAAATTCAGTCTTTTGATTCTCATATTAGAAACCTAATAAGTGAAAACGTCATTGGCGTTTGGGTCCACAATGGAAAGGGTTTCGTCGCAACGGCTTGAATTATTCATGCAAAACTATTGAATTACTCGATATTAATTATTCTTTAAAATATGCATGATCGGCGTTGCGATCAAGGGCGGAGCCATGGAGGACAAATTTTTATTTTTTTAAAAAATTTTTTATATTAAGCTAATACATCTAGGAAAAACTAAATGGGCTTGGGGAAGCCCGGGCTAAAGCCCAGGTTTGTCCCCCTCCATAGCCCCTGGTTGCGACCATATCCACTCCCAGTGTAAATTCGGCTTGGAATTTTATTTTAATTTTTGTTATTTATTATTATTTTTAATTTAAATATAATGATAAAGTTGTGAAAACGGACCTATGTTCCTTTAAAATACTTGAACATAAGGGCATGTGAGCAATTCTCAATAAGATTGAACGTTACAATAATTCAATAAACAATATTCGTGTTACACTCAATCCTATTGATCAATATTATACAATTGATCTAACCAAAAGTAACCATGATTGTTCGCTACCTGATTTAGTCATTAAGGCTTGAGATTTTTTGGACAAAATCAAGCTCAGAGTCTCCAAACAAATCCCGTGGAGGCCAAAGCCACAAGAACGAGGCCAAACAACCACAACAACATGGGGATATAGATGTGGATGTCAAGTTTTAAACTATACGAGTCTGAAATAATCTAAGCGTTACTTATTATTATTATTATTACTTAATCATTCTAAAACTAATTTAAATTTTAAAATAATTCATATAAAAAATCTAAAATTATAAAATACTATATTTATTTTATATTTCCTACAATTAGTCAATTATATAATTTTCAAGTTTCTGAAATGTAAAAAACTAGACTACATTTTATGGTTTCGACTAGACAAGTCTTACTTAATGAATTTATAGAAATTTTATACACACTTTCGAAATTTACAATAAAACACTAAGTCTCAAAATTATAATTACATAATATAGATAGTGCCGTAACTTAAATTTTTATTGAATAAAGTCATTTTTTTTTGTTCGGATAAAGTTATTCAAAACTTGAAACTAAAGTCAAATAAAGTATTCCAATAAATAAATAAAATAAAATAAAAAACTTTAAAGTATAAAGTATAAAGTCATATAAAAGATTTTTAAGAAAAAAAATTAATAAAACGCGCTTGGCGCTCGTTAAACAATTAACTTCGCAAGGGGTAGCTTTATTTGTTTTTATTGACAAGGCAAAGTGTTTTGCCCGCATTTCGCGCCAAAGCATTCAATTCAATTTGAATTACGCGTCAAAGTAGACTCGTTCTAAACTAGTATTTTGAGAATTTCGATAATGTGCTAACTTTAAAAAACCGTCAACAATAGTATATTAACTAAATTCACAAATTGCTTACGTCATCTATAAGCTCGTTTCGAGAACTACATTAGAATCATATCGAATTGTGCAACAGAATATCGAAAATAGTTAAACGAGTATCAAACGTATATCTCACAAGAGACCTTAAAGACATCTAACTCGTATTTTCTTTAAGATTTTCAATTATTTCATTAAACGCATACTATTTTTGCACGACAAACTTCTTAATATAATTTACATCATTTTATTAGAAAAGTTTATATGGAATATGACATCAAAAATTTTAAGATCGTTACAGATTAAATGTAATTCGAATTACTTTCGAATTGCATTTGCATTAAATTTGAATTTCATTTACTTTCTAGATAAAATTTGAATTTTATTTCAACTCGTTTACTTGTTACGTTTAATTTGATTTGCTTGCTGCTAGCTGAGCATTTGTCAATGAGATGTAATTATACGATATTTTTAAAATATCAAAATTCATAAGTTACAATTAGGGTCCGTTTGATTGCAATAATGTAATTTGGTGGAAAGAAAATGAATTTTAGGAAATTGAATTGTCTAGAACTTGTTTTATTGGGA